TTTATATTTTAGTTTGAGATAGTGATTTATTTATGAAGTTGTCCCAGGATAATCTTGAATTTGTGATTCTCCTGCCTCAGCCTGCTAGAATACTGGGATAATAGGAATGAGCTATCTTGCCCAGATATCGTAGCTTTTTAACTGGAAAATTTTAAGGCAGTATTAGCTAGTTATGCTTGAGAAGAGAAATAAGAAGACTTCTTCCTTTGTAATGTTGAGGCCTGATCCTCTCTGACTTCTCCCCACAGTCTAGAATTAGAACATTTTTCTTGTGCAGAAATGGATACCAGAAACTTCACATGCCTGATTTATGTAGCGTTTGACTAAATGTCTTTTTGTGCTACAGTACTTCACAACTTCAGCACAATTTCAGCACTCTTTTGCAAAGGCAGAAAGTGAGTATTTTTTAAATTGAGACCTCTGAGTTGGCCATACATGGAAATGTCAGGAGGATTTTGTGGCTCCCCATGCAGCAGGCATGTAAGGACATGGTAGAGTTGGAAGGAGCCCTCCGATTTCACTGACGACATGTGCTGTGTGTTAATTTGGTCTCTGGGTTTTAATTCTTGGTGACAGAATCTATATTTGGGGGGAAGAACTGTCTGGGCTGACTTTTCTTTGTAATGATTATCTTCCATGAAAATCTAAACAAGACACAGACGCGGTGGGTGCCGAGGCTTTCCGTGCAAATCAGGGGTAAGAATAGCAAAGGAAACTGTTACGTGTTAGCGGGGAGAAAGCAGCCTGTGGGGGGCAGCACACGTGCGTGTCTCAATCAAGACTCTGATAAATGGACTGGTTGAACACCCGTGACACAGAACCATTGCCAACAGCCAGATGTGCATCCCTCCATCCCGTAGCAGACAGAGGAGGTGAAGAGCAAAGCCTCAGTTTCCAACATTGGCTGAGAACCACAGATGACAAAACATTCTGCCTTGAGGTGATCCCAACAGAAAATAGAGGGTTGTCTCCAATCCTTCTGTCTCAGCTTTGTCCAAATATGGAGGTGATTTAGAAATCACCTCTCCATATTTTTCCCTAACACCTTTCTTCCTCGGCTTATGCAAGTAGCACTGTAATAAAAAGTTTAGGATCTTCAAAGTGAAAGCCAAGTTAATTTCTGCCTGGATTAGGCCAGGTTAGAGAAATGTTCCTTTTTGTGTACACAAATCTACTCTCGGGACAGTGCCATCTTTTGTGTCTACTGATTTCACAGACAGATAAAGTAATAAATTTTAAGAATCATGTCATCCTTTCATAACATGAAAGTAGTAGTAGCTGCTAGTGGTTCATTTTAATTGTGGTCTGGGCCATCCCCATTCATCTGAGTCATCTTTCAAAGTTTTAAAAAATTTAGTATTTGCCCTGCCATCCTGTAAGTGTTCCTACAGCGTATACTGTTAGAATGGAGAAGTTTGTTTTTTTTGTTTTGTTTTTTAAATCTCATCATGTCTTAATTCCATTCCCTTTGTCTTGGTTTGCACCCCTCCACATGTATGGAAGGAAACATTCCTTACCAGATTCTTAGACCTTTCCCTTCGGCAAACTTCCACGAACACCCATGAGGCCAAGACCACTGTTTGGAAAGAAGTAGACAGCCATTCTGTGGAATCCTGGAAGCTTGTTGTAAGAGTTAGAAGTGAGAAACACAGTCAGGGAGGAGGACAGAAGTCCTAGGAGGGACAGGAAGGCTCCGTAGCACTGATGTTTGTGGTCGGCATAAGGCTTGGGTTCGTGATAGAAATCATGCAATTTTATCAAATTACACAATTTTATCCATGGATGAATGAAAAGCCACACTCAGGGAAAGACACGGAAAAGCCACTGATTCCTCCCCACTGAACACAGTCATAGCTGATGGTACCATTTCTGTAATTATCTTAAATGTTTTCCCTTGCTTTTTTGGTAGACTTTGAACGAACAGTTTTCTCTTCGAATGAGATGGGGTGGGAGGTGAGTTTGGGAACACTGTCTCCTCCTCTGAGGAGTCTTTTCCTTGAATCCTGCTCGCACGCTCTTTCCGTAAGCGCTGTGCCCCCAAAGCTCACTAGCTCAGAGTGGAGAGTTAGAGCACCAACGTTCAGTTGCTGGTTGTTTTCATGCAGTTCTCTTATGAACCAGGCCAGTTTGGCTGGCCCCACAAGATTGTGGGTCACAGAGACCCCCAGTTTGGCAAAAGAGAGAGTGTATTCAGGAAGTTTTCAAACATTGGGAGCCCCCAACTCTAATCTTCCTCCTTATTTATTATTAATTTTATTGTGAAGCAAATAGCAATGAGACAGTTTCAAAACAGGTTAGTAGGACAGTTATAATAATACATTGCATATTGTTGTCTTCGTAGTAATTATTCATAGTATAAGATGCAGATGTGGTACCCTGTCCAAACACTATTAGTACAAATCTTTCTTCTTGTTGAACTAAGAGAAAGTAGCTGTGTATCTATCCTATTTTGTATATACAGATACAATAATCCTCCTCTTAGAAGACAGGTTTTTTTTTTTTTAATGTATTTGGTTGTTACAGACTCTTGCTATACAGCTCAGACTCCTAGTGATCTTCCTGCTTTTAGCCTCCCCAGTGTTGGGATTACAGGTGTGCGCCACTCTGCCTGACTCTGTGGCTGGTGTGCGCCACTATGCCTGGACTCTGTGGCTGGTATGTGCCACTTTGCCTAGACTCTGTGGCTGGTGTGCGCCACTATGCCCGGACTCTGTGGCTGGCTTAGCCCACCTGGGGGGGGGGCAGGACTGGTGTGGCATGTGGTGTTGGGGCTTGAACCTCGGTCCCTGCACTTGCATAAGCTTGCCTAAGCAGGTGCTTTAGTCTGTTGAGCCATCTCGTCGGCCTTAGAAGAGTTTTTAAGGGTACGCATGGGCTGAAAAAGCAGGGGAAGCCTAATTGGTGGGACAGAAGAGAATTACTCATGCTCTTCCCAGGGCCCAAGTTCAGAAATTGGCAGGGTGAGCCTTATCTCTGGGTGGTGCTTTTGGTCCTCTGATGTCAAAAGGCTGCCCAGTAGGGCATTTGTGGGAGATAAAGGGGTTGGTGGGTTCATTGGTTTGAACTACAGCCCTGACTATCTCCAAATGCCTAAAATACAAAAACCAAAAGAACACACAAACACGTGTAGCATGCGCGTGCATGGGCACATATGCACACACACACACACACACACACGCACGCACACACATTCACACTCCTGCTATCAAGTGACCACACATCAGAGATGTTTTCTAGAGGAAAGCTAGCAGGGTCCAACTACTTTATTATTTAGTCATGCAGTTTCTGAAGCCAGAGATCAGAGCCTGGTGTGGTGGTCAGTGCCTGGAATCCAGCACTCTGGAGGACTGAGACAGGAGAATTTCAGCAGATTAGAGGTCAGCCTGGGCTACACAGGGGTATCAAGGCCAACCTGAGCTACATAGTGAGACCCTGTCTCAGAAAACTCAAAACAAATAAATAATAAAACCAGTGGTCAAAGTAAGTATTTAAAAGCAGATGAAAATAGAGGATTTATTCAGTTTTTTTTTTTTTTCTGATTTTTCAAAAGAAAGAATGTGCTTTTATTTATTTATTTATTTTTGGTACAGGGTCTTATTACACAGCTCAGACTTATAGTGATCCTCCTGTCTCAGCCTCTTCATTGCTGGGATTATAGGTGTGCAGTACCACGCGGTATTGGGGATCAAACATGGGTCCTTCTGCTTCCAGGCAGGCACTTAGACTGCTGAGCTGTCTTTCAGGCCCTTGTTGTTCTTTTGAGATAGAGTCTCACTATGTTGCCTACTCTGGCTTTAAATTCCTTTGCTCACAAGATCCTCCTGCCAAAGCCTTCTGGGTGTCTGGGATTTTTAGGTGTGTGCTGTTCTGCTGAGCTTTTTGGTTTTTGAGCTTTAGGGTAGGAAACTGGCTAACTCCTCTTACAAGAGAAGAAATTTATTAACCTCATTATCTGGACTAGGCTATAGTCATTGTATCCTCACTTGTGACTCACTGTATCTTAGAGATTAATAACTCTGACCATAATTACTATAAAAGTTAGGGCCTGTTGGTTGATACGGTACTTGGTGGGGCTTAACTACTGTCTTACAGAAGGATCTGACTTGGGTAGAAAGATACCAACATCTTGGAGCATCATCAGAAAGCATTTTCTGAGAAATGTAAACTTTCCTTAAAACAAAAAATTGTTTAGTTTTGCGCTGAGCCCAGCAGCACAGGCTGATAATGCTGTGGGAGGCTGAGACAGGAGGAGTGCAAGTTCGAGTCCTTCTGGTCAGTCTGGGCAGTTTAGTGACTTAGCAAGACCTTGTCTTAAGATAGACAGTGTTTGTAAAAAACAGGACTGGAGATGTAGCATAGAGCCAAGGTCCTGGGTTGGACTCTACGTATGAAAGAAGGGAAAAGAGAGAGAGAGAGAGAGAGAGAGAGAGAGAGAGAGAGAGAGAGAGA